TAATTTTTTTTCGATGCAAATGTAATTATTATAATGCTTTTATTTAAATTAAAAAATCAATGGTTGTCAAATTTTGAAGAACATTTTATAGATAGCGACATATCAGCTTTGTCACTAGCTACAACATAACGACAATTTTATAGCTACTAAGCGGTTATAGCTACTTATCGCTATAGCAATACATATTTGTATACATATTTGTGTATACACTGCGTGAAAAAATGATAAGGCACCCAAAATTATTTATAAAACTCTACTATACATTTATATTTAAAAACAAATTTTTATAGTAAATGAAAGGTAAGGGTTTAAAACACTAAACAGCATTTAAAAGTATATATCTAAATGTAATTCACATTTTTATTTAAAAAAAAAACTGTTTTTTTAATCCGACAAAACTATAAGACACTTTCACAAAAAACGTTTTATTTACAAACCACAGTTGTGGGCAATTAAGAATATATATATTTTTTTTGATGTAAACACCACATACGCTAATAGAACTGTAAACTGTTGTGAACTGTAAAAAGTTTAACTTTTTACAGGTTTTTTATATTAGGTATAAAATAACAAATTAATTATTAATGGATCGTGCCGCACCGTTGAGTCCAGATGAGAAAAAAATGCTCTCAGCGAAAATGTTTCGTTCTGTTAGTTAGATGGCTAGCGTCATTGGACACAGCCAAACTGTGATTAAAAGGTAATAGTCCTCATACGTACAGAATAAAACTAATGTCCCGGACGTCTTTAAACATTAAGTGACTGTGGTAGGCGAAAGTTGTTGAGACAAGTTTCAAACTCTTCATTATCTGCACGTTAGATTGCTGCAGAAGAAGGTGTGATTTCTAATTTATGTACAGTTCAGCAAGTTATTCATAATTCGAGCAAAAAACTTCAGCGAAAACCACCATTTACAACAAATATCGAATAGATGGAATTATTATTTTCACGAATAGCATAATGAACCAGTAACATAGTAATGGCGTCAAATGGGTGGTGGTGGTGTAATGATTTGGTGTGCAATAGGGTATCACGAACATATAAATCAGAAGTTTATTTTATTGACGGAAAAATGAAGTCTATGGATTATCGTTTAATTGTTCAAGAATTTTTACGACTTCAGATATTTTTAGGGTGCCTTATCATTTTATCGCGCAGTGCACATATGGCGAGTTTTTAGTTTGCGGTTATAAAACAAAATGTTTATAGCTGCATATCTTAGTTAACTACAGCATAACGACAAGTATTCGATACGGCATATTGTAGCTTTGTAGCTATCAACACAAGATAAAATTAAAAATTAGATATTAATAAGAAAGATACAACAAAAGCCAAAAAATGCAAAAGTTTGGGTGGTTAAAATAGAAGTCTTGCGTTATTTAAACTATAACGCACGTTGCTTCAAGTTGGGTGAAAAAGCCGTCTACAACTAGACCAAATTTGTAATTAAAATGATAAAGTAAAAATATTAACTGTGTATGGCATAAATGTAAATAAGTAATATAGTGCAAATTTTGACAAGCTAATCACTAATTTATATTCGCTAGCTTTTTTTAGTCCTCGTTGCCCAATCGCTGCCTTTATCTTACTAATATTGTTAGGTAGTCGCTTTTTTTGGTTGCAATCTATCTAAAGAATCATTAAACGCCAAATATGTATTCAGCGTGTCGGTTTTTGACGTGCCCAGAAAATTTTCTGGGCACGTCAAAAAGAGGTGAATTGAGAACTGTTAACTTTTGCAAAAAGCTATTAAAATGCATAAAGCTAATTTTTTTTTTTTTTTAATATAACTGGAAAAAAAAAGTTTGTTTCTTTAGTGTAATTCCATTCTATTTAATTAACCTCAGTTTCACCTCAGAAGCAGTTTCCTAAAAGATCTAGAAATTTATGGTATTCTAATACCTTTTTTTTTTGTTCTTGTGTGAAGATTCTAGCTTTCTTGTGCAAAGGAACATTTTAAACCTCCTTACTTCATTACTAATTCATCATTTCTATTATTATTGATTTATTATTTGTAATTTATTAATTTATCATTTGGAAAACATCCTTATTATGATTTGTGTTTCTAGCTGTTTCTTAGGGGCTGGCTAACCAGGCTGACCGTATACGCAGGGCCGTACCGACGGGTGTGTGTGGGGGGTGGACAAATTTTGCAAATCTGGGGGATTTGCAAAATTCTGTCGGCTTTTGACGGAAAACTCAAAAATTTTGGTTTCTGTTGGTTAAAACTGAAATTTGGTTTTTAAAAAAAAAAATAAAAGCTCTTGTCGGTAAAATTAGCTTTTTTCATTTCCCCCCCCCCCCCCCCCACGTCTTTGTCGTTCGGTACGGCCCTGCGTATACAGTATGCTTTACTGGTTCATAAATACTTTGCAAAGCAGACTATCTTTTGATAGGTTAAACGTTGTTCTTCTTTGGTTAAATATATTTATAATGTGCATTCGTAACAAAAAAGTCATCTTTCGGTTTAACTTATTTAGCTTTATTTAATTTTTTTTTATTTTCACTTATTTAATTATATATTAAATGCCAACTCATTGCTTTTGTCATTTTTGACATTTTAATTGAACACTCAATATAAAAACATTCGTTTATATCTTTTGAATCTTTTTATCAATGTACTTATTAGTAAAAATTTCTTTATCCGTTGTTTGAAAACCTTCAAATTTGTCTCCTCGAACGGCTCATCCAAATGATAGATTTTTTTTTCATTTAATAAAATAGCTTTCCATTTAGCATAGACTTTGGAAGAACAGAGTCAAGATTTGGCTATTTAGATGGCTTTGTCTTTTAACTGTTAATATTACTAATATCATTATTAAGTTTAATGATATTAGAAATTAATTATTTTTATATTTATACGTTTTTTAAACTATTTTTTCACTAAAATTTTTATAAATGTAAGATATAATGTCTTATTAATATTCTATTTACAATATTCTATTTATATTAGAGCAGGCTGACTTAAGCTTTTTAAACCATCAATTTTACCAATGACTCCATCAGATATTATTCTTTACACAATAAGAAACATGTTCTGTTTTAAAAGTGTGCACATCTTTATAAATGTAGCACATCTTTAAGTTCTGTCGAGTTCCATTTTTAATCTGAATAAAGCAAAAACGCAAAACTCTTTTTACTCGGAAAAATAGTAACTAATAATGGCTTATTTCAGTTGTTTTGAGCACTTCTGCTGTTTTGTTAATAAATTATGATAAGCTTATTTAAAAATTTTTTCTAAACATACGAGAGCGTAATCAACATCAGTCATACTATTTTTTTTTTATTGTTGTCATTTATTAACTTTTTTTTTTATTGTTGTTGTTTATTAACTTTTTTTTTTATTGTTGTTATTGTTTTAATACTGATGATTGTCTGAGCTATTCAAACCGAAATACAACAAATTAATTAAAACATCTAGTACTTATCTGTCATTTATGTTTTACATAACTAACAACATAATTTTACATATCTAACAGCAACTTAGTACGTTGGTGTTATTTATGTTTTAAATAAATTAAATTTTAGTTAATGTTTTAATCTGAATAACAGCTTGAAACGGTATGCAAATTATACTACAATTTACGCATATCAATAATGTAGTTAAAAGTATCATCGTTTTTTGCCGAGTAAGGCCGATAATTTTTTTAGCTAAGATCTAAAAAAAAGAAAGGTCCTCGTATGCTGACATTTGCCGACTACCATTTTTAGATCCGATTTGGCCGACTCCATTGTCTAATTTGCCGACTAATAAATCTAGTAATGGGTATAAACACCACCTACGCCCTCCCTCGAAACGGCTCTGGTTATACAATCATTTTTTTTTAAAGCACCCAAGATTTAACGAAGACGATCTTGCCACAGAGCACTGCGGAAAAGCATTTAACAGAGCACCGCTCTGTTAAATGCTCCTCCGCAGTGCTCTGTGGCAAGATCAGAATGCAGTATCAAGTGGTCGTCCTTAAAAACGAAAGAAGAGAAATCAAATTGGATGTCCTTGCCTTGGTTAATGGCAGGGTTTTAACTATTGCTCAAGGAATTTCTAAAGTCCTCATTCAAGTCTAAGCATTTAACATGCTCTTCCGCATGTTAAATGCTGGACGACTCAGGCCTATCAATTACCGTATCACTTATATGGACGACTCAGGACGAATCACCGCCGAAACTTGACTTGAGCACCACGGAAGAGCATTTAACTAGGCAGTTTACGCCTCTTTCCTTACCAATGACACGAAACATATTTAGAGCTCGTTTCGAACCTTGTTTTTAAAGCTAGCGATCTAACCGCTGAGCCACGGCTGCTTTAATAAGTCAGAGAATATTAAAATGAAAGAGAGGAATGAACAATAACAACAAAAGGAATTAAAAAAAGATTTCAAGGCTACATGTTTTCATTTCTGCTGCTTCAAACACAGATCAGCAGGAACAATTAAAATTTTAACCTGACAAACTGCATAGTAATGAGCGTAAGCTAGGCATTGATGAATAGGTATGCAAAGGAGATTTTGATTTAATAAGCAGTTTTTACTCAAGTGTTTTAGGTTTGTGATAAAAAGATATTTCCGAAAGCTTATGAGATTATTTTTTAACTCAAGGCCAACATTTTGTGTGTGACTTTTTTTTTCATAAAATAAACTCGATATATATATATATATATATATATATATATATATATATATATATATATATATATATATATATATATATATATATATATATATATATAAACAAACATATTTCAGAAAATACTCAGCATCGCATTGCTGATGCTGAGTATTTTCTGAAACCTGATCCATGGAAAATGTCCCTTTTCCTCAAAAAATTGGAACACTCGAGTGAGATGAAACAAAAATTTCATGTAATCTCTCCAGCCTGATATTTTGAGAATTACTTCTGTTCTGTTATCAAACTGATTTTCAGTTGTTCGTACTCCTTCAACAGTTGAGATACAAATGGATATTCGATGTTTGGCAATTGTGTTTTACTTCCAAGTTTTTCATCCATCCCCAAACAGAGAATTCTATCTAATACATGGTGTTGATAACTGATAAACTGAGGTTTGTTGATGCGTTTCTCTGTAAACATTAGTTGCAATATTACAACAACACCATTTTTTTTCCAGTGTTAACGCTGGTGGTATTTGCAACAATAATCTGTATTGAATTCCATAGGTGAAATTCATCGAGGACTTTAGAAATTCCTTGAGCAATAGTTAAAACCCTGCCATCTACCCAGTGGCGGATTAAGACTTCTTGGGGCCCGGGGCTATTGTTTTTGGAGGCCTTTTTATGGGTCAGAGCCTAAAAATGACTTTAAATAAAAAAAAATATATATATATATATTACATCAGTATCTGTTTATGCTAATAATACCTATTTGGTTTTATTTAAGTTATAAATGCTGATCCTCATTGAAACGCCAGTAATAATAGACGCGACTCTGAGGAGATGTTTATTATTTAATCACTACATAAATTATGTTTACACATTAGCATTAATGTTTTTTTTCCATTAATTTGGCCTTTCATTGTTGTTAGCATATTTTTTATTTTGTGATTGGTTTTTTGTTTTATAAGTTTTTGTCTGATAATGTATTTGTTGTATACCTTCGTTCATATTGGTGTTCATAAAACAATTTATTTGTTTATTTATTTTTTTTATTGTTATTATTATTGAGTACTGTTTTGGGTGTATAGCCTGTCTTATTTATTTTTAAATATTCCTCTATTATTCTTTATTTTTGTCTTGACAACTGTCAAAATATGCTTTGTCTAATAAACAATTCTCCTTTATTCTACAGACGTGTTCAAATTATTAGACTAAAATTTTTTTCTCGTTTTTTTTTTATTTTTATAAAAATATTACAGATATAACGTTCGTAAATATAAAAAAAAACCTAATTAATACTTGGTATGGAGCCCCTTGGCTTTAATAAGCATATTAATGCGGCTCGGTATGCTTTCTACCAGAGTTTTACAAATGTTTTTGATGTCTTGGTCTTGATGCCATATTTGTATCAGTTTTTCGATGAGTTGCACTTTGGTGGTAATTGTTTCTTTCTTGATCTTTTTCTTTACAACAGCCCTCAAATTTTCAATGAGGTTCATGTCGGGACTATTTCCTGGCCACGGCAATGTCTTGATTCTGCTCTGCTGAAGAAATTCTGTCACTTTTTTGGCTTTATGACACGGAGCCCCATCGTGCATAAAAATTACATCTCCCTCTGGAAACCATGTCTTAATTTGGGGCATTAACCTATTTTGTAGCACTTTAATATATTGTACATGATTCATGGTGCCTTCTACGATGTACAACATTCCCGGTCCGTTTATTGACATGACACTCCACACCATAACAGACGTTGGATGCTTGACACTCTGGCTAACACACTCTGCCTTGAACTCTTCTCCTGGTCTTCTTCGAACATATTGGCTCTGTTCTTCCACCACCAAAAAGATAGATTCATCGCTAAAACATACCTGGATATAATAAATATACAAATGAGTACACAGAAACACTTTGCAAAAAATTACAGATAAAGTTTGAGAGATTCTTTAGAAAAAAAAATTGCCTAAATATTTTTAGAACTCATCTTCATATTTAAAATAAATTTTGATATCAAATGTTAAGTGAAAACTCTCAAAATGACTTTGAATACAATTTTTGCATACATTTTACCTTACTCCAGTCATAGATAGACATGTTTTCATGAATTTTAGCCCATTCTAGCCTCTTTTTAGCCATCGCTGGTGTAACCTTTTGTTTTTTTCGTGGACGACGACTTTTCAAACCACTTTCAAAAAGCCTTCTCTGAACAGTAACTGGAGAAACATCGACTCCTGCTTCATTAAGTTGTTGACACAACACCTTAGATGTGGCTCTTCTGTTATTAAGTGCCATTTTAACCAGATTTCTTTGTGTCCTTGGGGTTATTTTTCTTTTACGACCACAATTCCCTATTCTGTGGTGCTCATATGGCTCTTGATTATCAACACATTTTTTTATTCTGCTTACTGTTTTCTGACTTACACCAACTTTTAAAGCTATTTGAGTTTGTGTGTAAACCTTTTCACCCAACAAAGTTTTTACAGCAGAATATTTTTTGGGGGAAATATCATTTTTTTTGCCCATTGTTAAAATAAAATAATTTCACCAGTTTTACTGTACAATTCCTAAACAAAAACAATTTATTAGTAAATTCGAATTAAGTTTTTATACATAAAGTAATTTTGTAAAGAAAATAAATTAAAAGTAATTAAAATTACTTTAAAATGACACCCAAACAACTGCTGCAACGTTTTGCTACTAAAGGAAAAAAAACATGCGCTGACTTGCCTCCCAATATTGAAAACGCTCTAACAAAAAAAAGTGACGTTGCCAAATATAAAAAGTATGTAAAAACATTAGAAAAATGTCATATTTTATACTTAAAATCTTTTAACTGTGATACTTGTGAAAATGTAATAGATATTTGAACTCAATCACGGAAAATAATTTTCTTAAATCTATAGTCTAATAATTTGAACACGTCTGTAATGTAGTTCATTTCTTCCCTCAGGCGTTCACTGCTCGTGTGTGACTATTCGGCGAATTTTATATGCCAAAGTTTTTAAATAAAAAAATATATGTAGAGATAAATATATATATATATATATATATATGTATATATGTGTGTGTGAGTATATACTATATATATATATATATATATATATATATATATATATATATATATATATATATATATATATATATATCTATATATATATATATCTATATATATATATATATATATATATATATATATATATATATATATATATATATATATATATATATATAGATAGATAGATAGATAGATAGATAGATAGATAGATAGATAGATAGAAAGATAGATAGATTACACCAGTATCTGTTTTTTTTATTAAACTCATACTCACACACGCATATATACATTTATATATATGAATATATATATATATATATGTGTGTATATATATATATATATATATATATATATATATATATATATATATATATATATATATATATATATATATATATATATATATATATATATATATATATATATATATATTTAGTATTGGCCATTAATAACAATTCCTCATCATTTTTTTGATATCATTCGAATTTGATTGATAATAAACTAGTCAACATTGAGAAACGGATATTGTATGGTGTCCGGGAGCGGGATTTTGACGGGTAGCTGTTTTGGTTTCCGGACTGATTCCATATGATAAAAAAATCAAGCAAATTTGCTTAATTGGGTTTTATCTGATATTTATCTTGACTGAAGGTTCTGGAGATTTGACGGATTTCCCATAAGGTTCCCAAAAGGTTTAAACTGATAATTAAAAAAATCAATACAAAACTTACTCGATGGTTGCCATTTAAAATTCGCATTGTGCGTGAAAAAAATTTAAAAATTTTACTTTTATGCATTACATTTTTTGTATACAATATATTTACATATTAATTAAAGAGAAATTGTTTTTTGGTCTATTTTTTCATTGTGAAACTCCATCAAAATTTATTACCATTATAAAAGAACTTTATTATTTTCTTAATAAATTTACAAAGTTTAACATATACGTTTATATATAATATATGTTCCAGTATCTATTAAACATGTAGTAACTATTTCATGAGACACTGTTTCCATTTTTAAAAATGATCAAAATTTAGAATCTTGTTTCTGCTAGTAATGGTAATAACTGCTTTGAGGTAATAACTGCTTTGAGGTTAAAATACTGGTTTAGTCAAAAACATTTTAAAATGTTGTGATGGGTAGGTTATATTAAAAGAAATTTAAAGCTTTTGAATTGTTTTTACAGATCCATTCTCTTCCATTGATTTTTATGTATTCAATGCAAGCAAAATGACTGATGTTAAGAAAGTTTACCCAATGTCAGATATAAATATCAAATATTTATAAATAAATGCAAAATTACTTTATTTTTATGCATGAACTGCATTTTTAAATAATTGATACTTTTTGATTTTGATTTAAAATTGTACGCTTGAAAAATTGTAATTGTAAATTGTTTCAGATTAAAGAAACAAAAATGTAATATAAGCATTATGTATATCTTGTATTTTGCCACATGTTTAAGAATATTTCTGCTTGTTGCACAGTGACTGTTGACAATATTTAGGATACTGAAATGAGTAAAGGTGACTTCAACAACCAGAATGTATTTTTAATAAATATTATTAATGACAGGTTAGTAAATATAATTATGATAATAATGGTAATAGCTTTTACTAGGTTGGTTGAAAAGTTCGCGGAGCGGAAATGAAAAAACAATTTTATGATTCAAAAAATGACTTTATTCTTCAGTATATTCTCCCTTAAGAGCAATACACTTTTTCCAACGATTCTCCAATTCATGTATCCCATCTCTGAAGTGCGATTCCGGAAGGCCTTCAAAATACCCATTTACGGCTGCAATGACTTCTTCATGTGATGAGAAACGCTTTCCACGTAGAAATTTTTTGAGATGTGGAAAGAGGTGGAAGTCGGACGGAGCCAGATCTGGTGAATAGGGTGGATGTTCCAAGCGTTCGTACTTTAATTCGACCAATTTCGCCTTTGCAACATCGCTGATATGAGCAGGTGCGTTGTCCTGGTGATAAATGATTTTTTTATGCAGCAAACCAGGTCTTTTCTCACGAATTTTTTTATCCAACAGGTCCAAAAGACTTTTATAATATTCACCTGTTATCGTTTTACCGGTTTGAAGGTAATCTATTAATAAAATTCCTTTCGCATCCCAAAAAACTGATGCCATAACCTTCTTTGACGATTTTGACGCCTTCACTTGCTTCGGAGCTGAACAACCGGGTTCTGTCCACTCTGCAGTTTGTTGTCGCAGCTTCGGATCATAGTGGTAAACCCAAGTCTCATCCATGGTTACGAATCGACGCACAAAATCTGTTTTATTCTTTTGAAAACGGGCCAAATGTTCTTGAGAAAGTTTTACTCGAGTGCGTTTCTGATCCAGAGTTAGCGAATGCGGCACCCATCTTGCCAACAGCTTTCTCAGACGTAATTCATCGTGCAAGATGTGTAATACCCGTTCATCTGAGATGCCCACAGCCTCAGCAATTTCACGTTTGGTCAATCGTCTATCATCCATAACCATGTTATGCACAGCATTAATCGTTTCTTCAGTAGTAGCACTTTTTGGACGTCCAGAGCGAGGGTCATCTTCAAGGCTTGAACGCCCACGTTGAAACTCCGCAGCCCATTTGCATACTGTTGTTTTTGAAGGAGCATCATCACCCAACACATTTACCATTTCATTATGAATTTCCATGGGCTTTAAACCTTTTTTCACAAAGAATTTTATTACAACACGATGTTCAATATTTTCCATTTTAAAAAATACTATGACACGTCTAATTTCAATAGCTTGTAAACAAAGACTGAAATGACATATTGACTTGAAATTTTTTATGCGTTCATACGAAGAATGAATACGTTTAATACAGTTATAAATTTGTTTCTACTACTGCAACATAGGTGCCGCTCCGCGAACTTTTCAACCAACCTAGTATTTATTAGAATTAGTGAGACACTTATGTATGACAGAATTGCATGAACTTTTGGGAGTAAATATTACCTTTGTTTATTATCACGATTAGAGTAATGTAAGAAAATATTATTTGTATTTAAAAAATATTGGACAAAAGTCAATATTTTCTTAAGTATTAAAATATTATAAAAAATCCGTATTATATATTAAACATGTATTATAAAATAAAAAAATAAGTATAAAAAAAATTTAAGTATAAAAAAATGCACATGTATTATGATAATGCGTATACATCTAAACAACTATTATGTCTATAAAGTAGGGGTTGCAGCTGATATTTCAGCTTCAGCTTTAAACTCATCAGCTCTAGATTAAACTGAAGCTGATCAAATCAATTTAATCAGCTTGATAGCTGATAGTAAAACAGAATAATGCTCCATAAATATATTGTATGAAAAAAACATATAGAAAATTATTCAATGAAAATCTAAAATAATTACACAGTTTAAACATACATCTAAAAAATTTTAAATAAAGTTTGCCAAAAGTTGTTGCTGTTTATAAATGTTGCTGTCAGAGTCTAGGACTTGCAATATTAAGGGACCCAAATTGAGTTTTTAGAGACTTATTCAAAAACTGGCGCTCAAAAACCTAATTCCATTTTTGATTATCTAGATAATTTTTTGGTAGAATTCACAGTTTTTGCAAAAGACGGTTTTTTCTAAGAAAATATTGAGTACAAAATCAATCTTGTTTTTATTATATGTGATACCCCAGGTAAAGTATTTGTTAAGTGTATTAAGAGACACAATGGTTATAACTAATATGAGCGTTGTGTTCAAAAATGAGTGTGGTTGGCAAGATTATACTCCCACATTTTATCAATTTTAAGGACTGATTCGGATTTTTGTCATCAAAAGCATTTTGAACATTTTAGTGATGTGTTAAATTAAATTAAATGTGTGTTTATTGATTGTGTTTAATTAAATTAAATTTTGACATGGTGACGAAGTTTAGACTTTATGCATCAAGTATGCTTTGGGGTATGCAAAGACTCATCAACTTATGATTATAAGGCCAAAATGTTGTAAATTGTTTCAGATTACAATCAATACTTTATCTGACGGATTGTTCCAGATACGTCGTTAAATTCCAAGATAATTTTCTAGAAAACCAAGGTCTTTTAAAAGAAACTGAACTTAGACTTTTTCTAATATACACTGGACTAGTTGTTTAAAGGGGTTGATTGAGCTAAAAATCTATTCAAGCTTTTTAGACCTTTCAGTTACCGTTCTTATTTTGTTGAAAAAATATGTTGATTTTGCTTGTCAGTTACTAACTTATTTTGTGCTGAACTTTATGATAAGTATCAACATATGTCCGCTCTATAATACACATAGGAAATGATACAGTTAAATTTAAAATACTTGATAGATGTCTCTCATTAAAATTTGAAATTTTTTAGATTAATTTAAAAATCTTGTTCAAAGATTGCAGGGTTGCTTAAACAAACACGTGTTAGGAGATAAACAGATTTTTAGTATTCCTCATTTTGATGGGTCAGTAACCATTGCATTGAGACACTGTTTACAATTTAAAAATTATCAAGGTTTAGAGTGTTTTGTTTCAGCTAATGAAGGTGATAATTGTTTTGAAATTGCAAAAAAAAAGGTTTATTTAAAAATGTTTAAAGAGCAGACTAATCCTGTGACAAATGTTAGGTTATGTTTGAGGAATTTGCAGCTTTTACAACTGACTTGCTGATTGATGAGACTGAAAGATTTTATCGTGCATTAGATGGAGGTGGAGAGGCTAGGGCTATTGCTCTTGACATCAAAGGTTTTCGACAAAGTTTAGCATGTTGGTCTTCTCCATAAGCTTGTTCCATATGGTCTATCTAGGAACGCTTTTGAGATTATCAAATTGTAATTCCTCGAAAGCCAAC